TGTCAATCAATGTAAATTTTGTTCTTGGGGTATGGCGTCGACAAGACTCCTCAAAACTCAAGGACATTTTGGAAAATTCTCGTTGTGTCAATGATGGAAGACTTCTGGAGGTTTACTATCTCAGTTTCGATTCCATTTCTCCAAAGCCTTTTTTCAATTTTTCTATCTCGGCTTTCAAACGCCTCTATTCATAATGGAGTTAGTCCGACATTTATGTTCCATAACTTCTCCAGCTCACTAAACAAAAGCATGTATTTTTCAATCTTTTCAGTTTCTTTGGAGTTCATTCTTATAACACATAAAACGGCAAAGTCAACAATTTGATACTTGTTACTCTCTTTATAACCTAAAGGTCGGGTCTTCGCGCTTCAATGACGTGATCTCGCTGAACTGAGAAATCCCATAATACCTTGCGATTATCATTTTCTACTCTCGCCTCTTGCTGATGTTCATACTACTTCTCACTGATAATTATTATGTAAAATATTCTTTTTGGCCTGCATCTTTTTTATAATCATATTCCGGGTCATAAGCAATGGCGCCCAGGGCAAGCGAAACGTGTGTTTTTTCTTGTCTTCCCTTAATTAAGCAAAAGACAGATTAATAAAAAAAAAAAAAATTAAATGAACAAAGTTATTCACAGGATATGTGCTTGTTAGAATTATTTGGGAGATATCCTGGGGAGATGATGCATTAAGGTTTTTATTTGTTCTTGAGTTCCTTTTTTTATCAGACCCAAAGCTCCAACCTCACCAGGAACGTTTTTGTTATTATTATTTTTATTTTCTTTGATTTCTGGCGTTTACACATTTCTTTCCGGGTTCAGCCCTTTCCACTGACCCCCCCAAAAAAAAAAAACATATTACATAGATAAAGCCCTTCGTAAAGTGTGGGCTGTACTTGTGAGAACAATTTTTTGTATCTCCTTGAGGCATGGACTTCCAGGAATCTCTTCAATTAGTCTACTGCAATCTTTTCCAACCAGTCCTAGGGCTCCAACTACAACAGAGATTGTTGATGTCCCCATATGCCACTATTATTATTATTTTTATTTTCTTTGATTTCTGGTGTGTACACATTTCTTTCCGGGTCCCGCCCAGGGACCTAAGGTTAGAAATGGCATCATGACACTTTCCACTGACAAAAAAAAAAAATAAAAATAAAAATATTACATAGATAAAGCACTTCGTAAAGTGTGGGCTGTACTTGTGAGAACAATTTTTTGTATCTCCTTGAGGCATGGACTTCCAGGAATCCCTTCAATTAGTCTAGTGAAATCTTTTCCAACCAGTCCTAGGGCTCCATCTACAACAGGGATTGTTGATGTCCCCATATGCCACTATTATTATTATTATTATTATTATTATTATTATTATTATTATTTCTGTTGTATGCTCATATCCTTCCAGGTTCTAACCAGATTCCTAAGAGTAGAAATGGCATTACAGTTTTTCTTAGCATTTTTTGTAAAAATAAATAAATAAATATTGTTACGGTAGCCCGATATTTGTACCCTCACCTCAGATTTTACAAGTATATTTTAAGTACACCGTGTTCGTGTGACGAGACATAATAACTTGTTTATTTCTTGGAGAAGCAGATTGTGAGATCTATTTTTGTTTCAGGGCCAATTCTCGGATGAGAACCTCTCATTTCCTGTTTGGTGGGCCAGACGAACGCTGTTTGACAAAAAGTGCAAATGACCCCCAACAATATTCCATGAATGATGCCTACGCATTTTTCGTAGGCTGGCACGTGACGGTTTTGTTTCGCGCGTGACAGGGCTAACAATTCTTCACTCAGCTGCTGGTCCCCGGACGAGGTTAGACGTCACCAGAATCTGTCTTAGCCGTTTGCAGTCCGAAATAGTAGATGTCACCAAACCCAAATTTCGCTGTTTGCTGCCCGAAGAATTAAGAACGTCATCACTCAAGTCGGCTACGATTTTATGATTTATGGTTGTATACTAGAACATTTATAATCCCCCCTTTTTATGTTCAGAAAAAAAAAAAAAAAAAAAGAAAAAAAAGAGCGTATGAACATCTTTTTTCGTTACACTGTATTATTGGGGAAAAACCTTATTGACGTCAATCATCATCTACTGTGAGTGTTACATGTTTATATATATATATATATATATATATATATATATATATATATATATCATACTTATTATAAAACGCAGATTGTGTGTGTGTGTGTCTGTACGTTTATATATTGGATCGGATTTCCTACATTTTTCAACCGATTTCAACAAAACTTCACAGGACTACGTAAAATTACCTTGCGGTGGTTCTGACAGCGCCAAAAATTGAAAAACAATGGCTTTTGCACGAAAACACGATTAAGAGGCTTTAATGAAAGGGGAACAATTCATATCGAGTTATACTTATTAATATCGACTTATCGAGTTATACTTATTATAAAACCCAGGTTGGTTGTGTGTGTGTGTGTGTGTGTGTGTGTGTGTGTGTGTGTGTGTGTGTTCGTTTATTTATGGGATCGGATTTCCTACATTTTTCAACCGATTTCAACAAAACTTCACTTTTCTTTGGCAGGTAGTGTTTCTTATTTATTTTTCTTTATTTTTACATTCTGAATGCTTTAAAAATTCCATTTACAAGACAATTGTTTATAATAAAATTCTATTCAATCGGTAGACTCATAACGATTGAAAACAATGTTTTTGTTTGAGTTTGGGTTTGACCAATTCGTAAAAAAAAACTAAAAAAAAAAAAAAAACTAATTAAGACATGCGTGTCCGTCAACCTTAAACAATAATCTTTGTCAATTTTATTTTTCAGTCTTTATGATGGTCGATACTTGATCTATCTCTTACTGTTACATCCCCGGGCAACGCCGGTCTCTACTGCTAGTATATATATATATCCTATTGTCTGCTTACTCTATATTCCTATGATATTTGTCGCATTATTTGTCTAATTGATAGGTCATCTCCCAATCCCAATTAAGTTTCCTTTATTTTTTTCTTATCTTACTTTTGCATCTTGTATATTTGTAAATAAATTATTTCTATTATAAATTCTCGTTTTGTCTCTTATCGTTTTGTGTCCACGCATTGTATATTTCTTGCTGTGTTTACCAGTGTCTGAATTCGAAGAATTCTCCTCCCACTGTTCTTTTCCTTTATTTTTATATTGAACCTTGGGATCTCTTATTTATTTATTTATTTTTTCTCGTTACGTCCCGGCTATCGTAGTCCTAACGAAAACCCGGGCCTAACAATATAAACAACTTCAGTTCGAAGACATTTTACATAGATAAAGCTCTTCGTAATGCGTGAACTGTAATTGTGAGAAGAATTTCTTTTGTATTTATTTAAAGCATAGACTACTAGGAACCCACCGAAATGGGTCTGTCTCTGCTGTGGAGTAAATAGTACACCCCCGGTAACAATATAAACAAGTCCATAAGAACGTCAGGTCAGAGGTAAGAAGAAGAAGAAGCTATTTCGAGTCAGGCTGTTCGCTACCAGGCTCGTGACAGGCTTGTCGAATTCTCTGCCTTCGAGCAGAGGGGAACTCAGACGAGGCTATGCCGAAGGGCAGAGTCTCGTCTGGAGACGTAGACAAACCCGACCCTGTGTATGCGTGGTCTACGGGTATGTTTTGCCCATTTCTAGGGGCTATGAATCTCCCCACGTAAAAACCGGCCTTGTGCCACATCCTGCTTTGTGGAGAGGTTTTGCATGGATACCAAAATCTGTTTTGAGTCAGGCAGTTCGTTGCCAGGATCGCGACAGGCTTGTCGAACTCTCTGCCTTCGGGCCGCGAGAAATCCAGACGAGGCTATGCATACGGGTAGAGTCTTGTCTGGAGAGGTAGACAAACCCGACCCTGTGTATGAGGGTCTACGGATATTTTTTGCCCAATTCTACGGGCTCTGAATCGCCCCACGTAAAAACCGGCCTTGTGCCACATCCTGCTTTGTGGAGAGGTTTTGGATAAATACCAGAAGTCAGGCAGTTCGCTTCCAGGCTCGAACTCTCTTTCTTCGAGCAGAGAGGAACCCCAGACGTGGCTATGTCTACGGGCAGAGTATCGACATACCCGACCTTGTGTATACAGAATCTAAGGGGAGTTTTTGCCCGAGCTTACGGGCTTGGAGTCTCTTCACATAAAAACCGGCTTTGTGCCACATCCGACCTTGTGGGGAGGTTGTGGTAAATACCAAACGTTTGGAGTTAGTCTTCAGACTAATTAATACAGGATCTACAGAAAGTTTCAGAAGCATTACTTATATCATAACCGCTACGAAGCAGACGTTATAACAATGGCGATATGGGATTTGAAACTCGAGCGATTTTTAACCATTCTAACGAAAATTCAGGTCTCATAACAAAGATTCAGAAACGTGTACGTGTTGTAACTGGGGTTACAAGGATTTTGGAAACTCACGCTGAGGGAACACGTACTGAGAAATATACTTGTTGCTTCGGGAACAAGGATACGAGTGACGACAAGAATTTTAAGCGCGTTGGTTTTTTAAAAAAAAGTATAGAAAAAAAGAATTTTTTTCTCTTTGGTGCAGGGAAAAAACATATTCTTGCGAAGCAAATTTTGGCTTCGATATTTGAAATTCAACAACATCAACAGAGACAATAACAACAGCAAAAGACAAATCCACAAAAAGAAAAATAAATCCTTCTTTCAGATGTGGTAAATTACATCTTGGAAAAAATGTGCATTTAAAACTGCAGAATGTTACAAGTGTGGTAAAAACGGGCATATAAAGTCACACTGGAAAACCAAACCAATAAAAAATTCTCACAGGAAGAAATTCGTACACAGCATTGCGACGGAAAAATAATTATAGAAAACAAAACGAAACCTGTGAATGTGAAAATAAATGATGTGGGTGTGATATTTCAATAATAAATGAAAACACATGGAAGGAAATTGGAAAGCCTTTATCAAAAGGACTTCCAAAATCGCGATTTCAGTTTAGGGTGAGAATTTTTTTTTTTTTTTTTTGAGAAA